TACACTATGAAAACTATCTCTAGAATCTCAAGAGAGCTAAGTGCTGCATAATAGAAGTCACTTGTAGAATCTAACGTCTGGTGTGTCCTAATTTTATATGCGGTTTAGTGATTCTATGTGTGCTGCATGTTGGGCTTTAATGAAGGAAGTTTGAATCTCACATCAAGATATTATGAAGATCTGCTATGATATATAAATAGAGGCTTAAATCCAAACTTGTTATAGGCCTTTTATGAGACAAAACTATAAAAGTTTAGGATTAAAATAGATAATATCTCACAGGTTGAATGCGGGTCTCTACACAAATCCTATTTGGATCAAAATAGATAATATATTACAGGTTGAGTATGAGTCTCCATACAAATCCTATGCTATAGCCATTCCACACAGTAATTCCAAACAAATGTCTAACAAAACTTCTTGCAGAATATTGATTGAAGTGAAAATCAATTACTCAAAAGATGCAAAACTAATAGTCAGTGAAAATTGAAATAGAAATCAATGACTGAAAATGTGCAAAACTAATAGAAAGTGAAAGGAATCCAAAACGATCGAACAAGGTTATTTCATAGGAAAAATCATAATCCAACCAAAAAAACACAAGAATACCCAACAATAGTCACTTGCTAGAAATACTCGATCTTAAATCACAAAATTAAGAAATCATTCATTCCCAACACAAGCAACGTCGGCAATACAACCAGAACAATAACATTCAAATCCATATATCTTCATAAGAAAATATAAACCAACTCCCTATATGATCAAACTCGATATCCATTATGGCTAACATTTAGATTAATAAAATTAAAATTAAAATTGTGAGAGAATAATAGATGTCGAGTTTGTGGCTTATTTCTAAACTAAGATTAATAATGAGATTCATAAAAGAAACAATTATTTTGAATTGTTAAATTCATTTTAAAAGAATTTAAAATGATTTAAAATGGACGAATTCCCAAGAGAAATATAAGAAAAAAAAAACCTAAAATAATATTTATGAGAAAACCAATAATGGGCTTTAAACTAATAGGAAAAAAAAAAAAGAAAGACCTTCCTTTGTTTTGGAAACCCAAGCGTTTGTGCTTTTTGTAGGCATCTAGATCTAGCTTTATGATATGGTGAAGGTTTAGGTAGCGTGAAATGAAGAAGATAATTAGGGAAGATAATGAAACAGACGAAAACAAAAAGAAGTGGACAACATGACTTTTACATGAATTAGAATTAACCGCGCTAAGGAAAAAAATTAGTCTATTGAATTTCAGGGTTATTAAATATCAAAATTTAAATATCAAGGTCAAATTTAGTTTCATTTTAACCACAATTTTTATTTTTTAATTTACCCTTAAAATATTAATATACAATAATATTTAAGTATTTTATCCAATATTTTGATAATAAAATATAATAAAACAAACAAGCTTATTCGGATCCAAATTTAAGTTTTTAAAAAGATTAATTATTTATTTGACTCAACTACTAACATTTTTCATTAATTTGATATATAAATAATAAAAATTCATGATTAAATACTTAAATTTATATTTCTCAAATATTTTGATATTTTACTTTATTATTGTCAATCAAGTAATTGATGTAACATAAATACTCAATAAAATCATAAATATCATAAATGTTCAGTTATGTTATACCATTTATTGTCATGTTAACAGGAAAAACGAAAAAAAAAAAATTTCTTTTAAAAAATTTTAAATATATGAAAACTTTAATAAAAAATTCAAAAACTTAAAATAAATAAATATTTTGAATAAATAAAAACATAAAATTTGAAAAATAAAAAATAAAATTTTAAAAAAATTAAAATATTTAAAGAAATTAATTTAATGTTTTAAAAAATCTAGAAAACTTTTAAAAATTTTTGAAATATTGAAAATTCTTTTAAAAATATATATTTTTTACAAATGAAAAAATATAATTTTTTAAAAAATAAAAAAATAAAAAAATAAAATTAATATTTTAAAAATCTAAAAAATTGAAATATTAAATTTTAAAAAAATAAAATATAATGTTTTAAAAAATGATTATTTTGAAAAATAAAATATTGAAAAAGATTAAATTTAATATTTAAAAAATCTAGAAAAATTTAAGAAAATTTCAAAATAATGATTTTTTTCAAAAAAAATTATAATATGTTTTTTTAAAAAAATATGATTTTTTAAAAAAAATATTGAAAAATAAATTAGATATTTTAAAAATCTAGAAAATTATAAAAAGTTAAAAAGAATGATTTTTTAAAAATTTAAAACTACTTTTTTTAAAAACTTGAAAAGAAAAAATTTTAAAAAATTAAAAGAAAAATGCAAAAGGGAAGAAAGGATCAATGAAGGAGAGAGGGAAAGAGGGAACAGATAGAGAGAGGCGGCAAAGGGAAAAGAGGAGGAAAGGGAGGTGCTGTCAGCGGGCTAAAAGAAGTGTAGTTGATTTGCCCTAGATCTAACGAATTAGTGTCAATCTAACAAAAACGAGCCAAATCGACGTCCATGCGCAAGACTCGAGTATGTCATCCCTGATCTCGCCCTAGGTTAGTTGTTCGACGCTAGTTGTGCCTCCCTCTTCCCCTTTCTTATTCTCTCTCTTTCTTTCCATCTTTCCTATTTCTTTCTCTACCCAATTCTTTTCTCTTTCTTTTTTTTATTCTTTTTAAATTTTGAATTTAAAAACCATTCTTTTATATTTTGGATTTTTTAACTTTCCATATCTTTTAAATTTTGATAAAATTTTTATTTAAATATTGATGTGAAATGACATATTATTTGTTAAATTTTATTAGATTTTGTGTCACATAAATAATTTAACTAACAAAATTAATTTAAAATATTAAAATGTATAATAGAATGATTTTTTAGATATCTAAATTTGAATTTTATTTTTTGAAATATTAAATTAATAAAAATGTATAATGTAAGAACTATTTTTATATTTTTTTTTTTAAATATAAATTTTGATCGGTCAAATCCATTGACAATTTTAAAAGTATTAGTATTAATTTTAAGTTATACAACTAAAATACTAGTTTTAGCTAGCATTAAATAATGGAATGTGAAGGAGCTGTCCAAGTTTGACTCTGATAGATTAATTTGCAGGAATTTTTAAGCCCCCGAGCCTTGGTCCACCTGCGTGGGAGGTGTCCTGATGGAGGATTTGCAGATAAAGATTGTTTATTCATTTATTGATAATAATTAAAGAAAAAAAAAAGGATATTATTACAGCTTCACAGCACTTCATTATTATTCTATTAATCTAGCCCCCCCCAACCCCATAACACAAAGAATCTACTCAGTCCCTTTGAATCATCCATTCAAAGCCCTGACAATCTTCTTTGCTAGGGTATTTAACGTCAATAATCCAATTGGTACAAATCATATTATGCAACTTGGAGTGGAAAATTTAGCCCTCTTCCATTTTTTTTTATTATGATATTGTCATTTTGTGCACGTTTACAACTTTCTAAAGAATTTATTATGTGTCTAATACCCATTTTTTATTTTTTAAATTGAGACATTGAATCTTTCATTTATCAAATTATACCAAATTGCCATTTGAGAGAGAGAGAGAGAGAGAGAAATATGAGGGAATATCTGGGTTTAGGGGCTATGGTTATTTTAAAAAGGTTGGTATATGAGCTATTATTATTAGACTAATGTCATTATCCCATGAACTAACAATTTCATATGTTGGTGTCTTACCAAGGATGGAAAGAAAGTGAAGTCGATGAAATGTTTCGAATGAGCCGAGTGAAAAATTAAATCTGAATGATTCTAACTTCACGAACTGTCAAACATCAAACATGTAAGGGGCAATTGGTGGTAATTATTATTTACTGCAGATTTAGGATTTTTTGTTTTTTGAATATCCACTTAAAAAATATATAAAACTGCCTAACTATTTAATAATTTTGTCAATAAAAATGATGTTTATAAAAAATTTTGAGGGTATCCAAAAAGTTTTCTTTCAGATTTTTTTTTTTATAATCCAATTTTTAGGGTTGTTAGTAAGAAAATTTTGAAAGTATTTAGTGAAAATTTGTCTTTTTTTTTTTTTTTTAAATTTTAGCACTAGATGGTCTCTATTATTACCCCATTTGCAAATTTTTAACATTTTAATATCTTGAACTCAATGTTTTATAACAATAATAAATTTAAGATATCCACGTAACTTAATTGTTAAATTTTAGTATTTTTTTTTTAATTTAAAAAATTTGAAAGTAAATGAGCTGTTCAGTCCTTCAAGTTAAGATAAAATGTGTCGTATTTGATAGCTTAAGACAAGTGATTATAAGTTGTACATTAAGATGATCTCAACAAATGATTATTAACAAAACTCGAATCTAAGATCTCTTCATCAAAAAAATAATCTTAACCGATTGAATTAATCATTGATAAATTTTAATTTTTAATTACTTCATGTTAGCTCAAGGAGGTAAAATTATGTAACGGACAGAATCACTTTTGTGGTGCAATAATTTAGATTCTACGTCCAGTGAAAAAACCATCACCCCTTTCATTGTTTTATAAGTTTCATGAGAAGAAAAAAAGGGAGAATGATTTAGACGGATGGATTATCCAAGCTATTAGATACTGTGATACGAACGGCAATACATACAAAGAAATTAATATTAAGCTGTCTAGCTTGCCGAAAACAAAAGGACTGCTTGGCTTCTTACTACCCAATAATTCAAGATAGGCCCTCCAAGAAAAGAGGGCGTCGGTTGTAACTTTACCACGGAGTTCATTTCACCCTTTTGCCATTCCCAATGGGGCAATGGGCAATGGGCAATGGGCAATGGTCGTTTGTGACTACATACGACTTCAATACTTCGAACACCTCAGTCTCTCTTTCCGTCTTTTTTTTAAAACTTTTTCTCACATGATCCAAGCCAGTGACTCAAAAGCAACTCAAATAAAAAAAAAAAAAGATTCTCCCTTTTCTTTTCTTTAAATTTTAATAAACAAAACATAAAACTCATTATAATATGTTTTTTAAAGGAACATTAGGTGTAGCAAAAATAAGTTTGGGATTTAAAGAAAGAGAGATTTATGAGATTACAGAGTAATTGAGTTTCCATTATGAGCGTGTAAAGCTGTTTCTTTCTACTTTCTATTTCTCTATCTTTGCTCCATGTAAGCACAAGCGTACAAACAAATTTATTCTTCCCTTCTGTCTTCTTTATTCTTTCTCTTTCTTTTCAATAAAAATTTTCTATTATTAAGCATTGATTCTTTTTCTTTCTCTTTTAATTAAGCATTGATTAGGCTGCCCATTTCCAATCTTTTGCAAGAAAGGGACTGGGTCGTGTTCTCTTCTGTAAAGTTTCCTTCAAAGGTACTTTCTTAATTGTTTCTTCTTCTCAAGCATTCGTTATTAATGCTGTGTTGGGTGGTTGTTGGAATTTCAGCTACTACAAAAACAAATAAGAAATTTAAAAGAAAAGATCTGTATTTATTGTGTTTCATTTTGATATAGTTATTTTAGTTTCCTTCTCTGTCAAATTCAGTAAGAAATCTGAATCTCAAGTTGATAGTTTCTTGTTGATTTTTCTTTTCAAATGTTTCTGGCGGGTTTTGAATCAGATATGGAAATGCAGGGGAAACATTTTCTTTTTTTTTTTTTAATTTTTGGGTTTTCTGTGTTTATTCTATGTGATTAGTTTGTTTGAAATATAAGTTCTGGATTTGCTGATAAGTAAGATGCTGATGCGCATCTAATGTGTTTTATTAGCTGTTGTTTTAAATATATTCAAGTTAGATTAAAACTTTAGCATTCCTCTGTTTTTAACATTTGTCGTATTTGGGGTTCTGCCAAAAACTGGAAATTGAAAAAAAGTTAAGATGACCTAAAATGGTATAGTGTCTTCTGTTACATTGAAGAATTTATCAATGGGGATTATGAATTTTCATTGTTTTTGTTTCCACCTTATTTGAACAGTGAAAGTTAGCATATAAAACCTTGTTAGTAGGATCAATGGAAGCCAGATAAAACGTATTGGTTTTGAGATTAGAACAAATTAAGCAGATGTTATTGACCTCGGGATAAAGTCGAAAAGTTTTTTCTTCCTTAGGTCTTACTTTTGCTAAAACGAGTACTTAAGTTTGGATTAAACAACCAAGTGCTTGATCAATCAAATAAATATTGAAAATACACTTGAAAATAAGAAGGTTTTTTTGTTTAGCATTTGAGTAAAAATCTACCAGACATGTTTCATTTGGGTTTCAGTGACAATTAGTTTTTTTTTTTTTGGAAAATAAAGAATATTGCCAATATATAAAAATTTCTGTCCATCTAATCTGTGCTATGGCTGCTGTTGTTTGACATTAGCTGTTCTCTTCATCTGCTATATCTAAATAAAAGTTCAAATCATAGTAATTTCAAGCTTGTTTCTTTCTTTCTGTTATATTCCTCAATATTGTTCATTTGGATTTTATCTGATGCATTTATTTTAAATGAACAGATATATGTTGCTAAAGAATTTGATGGAAGACAAGCAACTAGATTTTAACCGGCCACTTCTGTCTGTGAGGCGTTTCACATCCCCAGTGGCCACTTCTGAATCTGAAGGCAACAAGAAAACTGATAATTCACTCCCCAAGATACCCCATCCACCCATATATAAATCAGAACTAAAATCAGGTCCAGTTAGGAACCCCGGAACAGTACCTTTTGTATGGGAGAAAACCCCAGGACGACCAAAGGAAGAAAATAATTTACAAACTCTGGCTCTTGAACAGCCTCCCATCGCCCCAAAGCTTCCACCTGGGAGGGCTTTGAATGATAAGCAGCAGTCTTCAAGAAAAGGATCTGATGGTAAAACTTTTGCTCTGTCCCAAACAGAAATTGTCCTTTCCAGTTCTCAAAATGTTTCATCATTGACTCCGAATGAAACTAAATATGAGAGCACAAATGGAGAAATGGAGGATACAGGGAGCTCTGGCTCGAAGGACAGTGATGAGGCATACTTAGATGCACTTGATACACTTTCAAGGACAGAGTCATTCTTCTTGAACTGTAGTATTAGTGGTGTGAGTGGGTTGGATGGTCCAGATATCAAACCATCTGGAATCTTCTCATCAGATCCTCAAACTCAGGATTTCATGATGGGCCGGTTTCTGCCAGCAGCAAAGGCAGTAGCATCAGAAACACCTCCATATGCTACTAGGAAACAACCTCTGTCACGAGAGCCACCGAGACAGATAAAGAAGGTAGTAATTACGGATAAGCACCAACCACTTTACGCATCCAGTCCAAACAAGTTTTCAAATCATGCACAAGATGACTGGTGGGAAGAAAGTGAAGATGAAGATGATTGTAGCCAGTCGCAAAACTCTTCAGCAAAAGTTTGTGGCTTACTTCCTCAGTTTTTGCTTAAAAATTCCTTCTGCCTTCTGAACCCAATACCGGGGATGAAAATTCAGGCTCAAAAATCAGTGAAACCAGCAAACTCTGTTCACAGACGACAGGCTAAATCATCATATTTGAGATCTTGCAGTGAAACTGACAATGAGGTACCTATGCTCATTTCTCCTCCTATACAATGTGGTTGTCTAAATCCAACCCCAGTTTCTTCACCCTTTTCTTTCCTTTTGTAAGTTAAATATTGGCTTCTTTTCTTTTTCTACAGCATGCTGAGGTTGCTGAAGAGAAAGGATTAGCGGATATAGTTCAAACAGAAGAGCTTATTAAACATAAGAATAATCAAAAGAGTGGATCTAGCCAGAAGAGTTACAGAAGTGATTGTCAGAAACCTGGTGGAGCTTCTCTTTTCAGGCATTTGCAGGGTAATGATGTGTCATCGTACCCTAGTCAAATTTCGCAGTTGGTCTATCAAGAAAAAGGGTTTCTTGGTATTCTTGAAAAAGATAAGAATTACAGGGCTAGTAGCATTGATCAGCTTAAAAAGGGAAGCAAGAATTTTCAAGAATTGTTGGCAATTGAGTCTATTAGCCAGGAATCAGGTTCAGGAAGCCCTGTAGTTGAGAAAACTCTATATGTAGATTCTGTGCACAAGGTAATATCATCCAATTCAGATTTTTCAGATAGAAAAGCACTAACTCAATGCATGGAGGATGATTTGGAGATCCAAGTTAAACCTAGGGAAATGGAGGGGACTCCTTTAGTAGATTCTTCATTACAGAATATCAAGCACTTGAATAGTGTGGTTGATGAGAAGGCAGCAGTGCAGCATAAAAGTGTGGAGTCTGTGGATGCATTTTCTCTGTTTTCTGTTGAAAAATATGCTCCTGACATGAAAATGGATGCAACAGATGGTTCCAGAATGGATCAAGATTTGATCCAGAATTCTAGTAAATTGACATGCCTAAATGTGGCTGCCAACTGGAAGGATAGTATGGAAAGCCAAGTGAACTTTAAATTAGGTCAACAAGAAATTTCTCATGGCCTCGTACAAGACTCTAATACATTTACAAACTCAAAAGTAGCTGAGCGTAGAAAGATCGATTTGGAAAGCCCCCTGCAAATAAAATCAAGTAACCAAGGAAGTACTCATGGCAGCTACTTAAAACTTCCTCTGGCCCCACCTTTACCAAAAGCTCCATCAGAGTCTTGGTTAAAGCGCACCTTGCCCACTGTTTCCTCAAGGAATTCATCGTCATTGTCGTGTCTTGGTAAATGTAACTATATTGGAACTCAGGCCTGCACAGCTCAGTCCGGTGATCCCAAGTGGGAAATCATTGTTAGATCTTCTAATATACATCATGGCCATTTGCGGTTTTCTGAGGTAATTTCCGTAACTTCTTAGTTGGTACCTTCTTTTTGTTTATATTTATGTTTACTGTTGTTGGATCTGAGTTCTTACTTTTACCATCTAATTCCTCATTTGTCAGGAACAACTTCCTCCGATACCAGAAGCTTAGAAGTATAAAGAGCTTGAGTCAGTAAGCTTTGCCATTTGCTATGGTTGGGTTTATGGATGCATAAAGATAATATTAAACCCTCTTTCAAAAATTTACCTACAGATGCTCTCGGTATATCGTGGAAAGCAGTAAAATGTGTAAATCAATATTTCCATATGGCACTGAAATAAGAAGCTATCGTTGTAATTTCTTGTAAATTACATCAATTAGTTGATGGAGTGCAGGTCCAATAATCCTGTATTTTTTATTCTTTTGTAAAGGGATTCGGGAGCTGTATCCTCTTATAATCTATCTGCAATAAAAAGGAGAAAAATGCTGCTTTTACTAATTATAGATTTGTCATGCTTTTGCCCCAAAAAATAAACATTTCATGTTATACATTAGAATTCAGGTTGTCTAAGTCTTACGGCATGAGCCAAGTAATTTATAATAACCATGAAAGGCGAAATTGATTTTTAGCTTAATAAAATATGATTGAAACATCATATTATTGTCAAAAAAAGGGTTTGATTGAAAGATCAATTGGATTAATAATATAATTTATTTATTTATGGCATGGGCTTTAAAATAGAGTTTCCACTCTCCATCCTAAAATATTGATATAAGCTCGTGAATGTTTGGGCTAATGAAGGCTTCGGTGGACGATAAACATTTGAAAGCCCATATTCCATTTTAGCATAGAAGAAATTTTGATCAGTGAGCAAAAATTGAAGGATATTAAAGATTTGATAATTTGTGTATTTATATTATATTTATTATTTAAATATATATAAATTATAAAAATTATTATATAATAATTTATATCAACTATTGACATATCAAATATAAACAAATTTTTTTTATTTTTGTCAAACTTATATATTATTTTTAATAAAATTTTAAAGCGTGTTATTGTTATATTGTTTTATATCATTTTCATGGCTTATTTGAAATTGGCAAATTCTAATTACAAGAAAGTGAAATTGACATCCATGACCGACAACCATAGGAGAAATGGGGCGAGAATTTTAGAAATCTGGTAGATTTCTCCTTTTTGTTTTTGTATTATAAATATTATGCTAAATTTCATTCAGATTCTTAAGTTTTAAGTAAAATTTAACTTAAATCCATTTATTTAAAAAATAGACAGTTCGTCTCAAACTTTTTCATTAATAGGATAAAAAGATCCTTTGGTCAGTTATCTTTTAATTATTTCATTAATAATCTTATTAAAAGATTATTTTACTCTAAAAAATTAATATTTTCAAATACTCACATAATGTAATATTTATAATAATAAATTATTTTTATTTTTTCTCAAGACACATAAAATACTTAATAATATAAAAAGATTTTTAAATGCAACATATAAAAACAAAACTTACATTATAAATATTTTAATATGTAAATATATATGTAAAACAAAATGAATATATTAAGCATGTAACAATTTTAACCAAACCTTTTTTTTTTTTCGGCAAAATATTTTTTCTCATTATATGCTACATGTTCATTTTTTAAAAAGACTTGTTCCATGTCGAAAAATAGTTACATGTTCAATATATTCATTTTATTATACATATTTATATATTAGCATATTTATAATTATAAATTTTGTTTTTATATATTGTATCTAAAAATCCTTTTTTATATATATTATTAAAATATTTATTTATTTCAAGAAAAAAATAAAAAAATTATTATTATAAATTATTACTTTATGTGAGTATTTGGAGATATTGATTTTTTAAGGGTAAAAAGATCTTTTAATAAAATTATTAACGGAATAATTAAAAGATAATTGACATAGGAATTTCCTTATTTTATTAATTGAAAAGTTTGGGGCATAGTGTCCATTTTTCAAACTAATAGACTTAAATTGAATTATGCTTAAAATTTAAGAAACTAGATGGAATTTACTCTAAAGACTAACTAAGGGGAGACCTGCAAGCATGGTTGATCACTGCAAGGCAAATGATATTTTAATTTGAAAAACTATTTTATTTTTTAATTATCATCTTTAATTAAAATTTATTAAAAAATGAATCATTAAAATCAATACATAAAAAAAGTTTATTATTCATAATTTCATAAGATCATTATACAAAAAATTACATTATTATCATGAAAACATATCATTATAAAAAATTATTAAACACATGTAAATGTATATTGAGAATTTGATTAGCAAACATTGAATATAATTATACATGCTTGTTCTTAGTTGAGTAGTCTTTAGAATGTCTAAATCAAGGTAGACTTTTATCATTGATGATAAGATAACATATAAAATACTTGTAATGTATAAAACACCTATAATATATTCTAAGTGAGTTTTGCAAGCTAGCTTTAAAATCTATAGCAAAAGATTAAATTTTATGTCTTAAGTAGCTAAAGAATAAGAATCATTTACACAAAACAATCAAAGAAAATAAAGATTAGATTTTTCAAGTTATCTTGATTTATTTTATGTGCTAGGTTGCCATAAAGAACCATTTTTAAAATATTAAGACTGATGATAAGCATACCATAGAAAACTCAATCAATAAAAAATATATATTATGTAAGTATTGTCTTAAATCTCAAGAACCTTATTTGAATATTAGAACAACAAATTTGATCATATTGCATACCTCTTTGGGAAAAAATAGTTGATAAATAGAAACAACATCAATTACTAAATAGACTAGATCTTCCTTTTTGGTCTTCTCTTACTAGTAGCTCTCAATGGGTAGATACTATTAATTAGTAGTGAAGATAGGACCTTAGCCAATTTTTATTAAATCCCTAAAACCTCCTTGTCAAAGGTTTATTAGGCCAAAAGCTTAGACAACTGTATATAGACACTTAATTTTATCCGATCAAATTTTAGTCAAATTGTAAAGCTTTTAAGCCCGACCTAGTTCAAATCCAACATTTCTTTAATATTGACAAAATTTTGAAAGTGAATTTTAGACCAAATTGACTCAAATGCTCCTTAGTTAAACTTGGTCAAACAAAATCAAATCTAGTCAAAATCAATCAAATTTGGTCAGGTTCAGGTAAACCTTTAGAATTCACAATTGATTATGATTATTAAGGCTTATGATTAACAATTTCGTGATTTTGTTGCATTGAAAATCATGATTGCACATATGGAGGGGTAAAATTACCAAAATATTTTTTAGGAGTATTTTTATAATTTGACCTTATCAAGATTGTTTTTGTGAAATCCTCTAGATCATGTATTGATATACTTTCATGTCTTTTGATGGATTGAAAATCTTAATTGCAACTCGGGAGGATTCAAATTACGAAAATTATCTTTAGGAATATTTTCATAACCTTCTTAAGGTTAGTTTTTCATGAAAAGCTCTAGATCAATATTAAACATTATGTTATGATTTTTTGTGCATTAAAAACCCTAATAGCACCTCGAAATGGTTAAAATTATCAAAATACCCTTTAAGAGTATTTTCGTAATTTAACCTTATCGAGTTGGTGTTTCGTGAAAAGCTTCATATCATGATAAAACATTATTTTATGATTTTTTATACATTAGAAAACCTGATTGGATTTCAAAATGATTAAAATGACGAAAATGACCTTTAGGAATATTTTCATAATTTGACTTTCTTGAGATTGATTTATCAAGAAGAGCTTCAAATCATGATTAAACATTATTTTACGAATTATGGTGCATTAAATTCACAAAACGAAGGTGGAAACATAAGTTTTTAAGAAAATCATGTAAAAGGGTCAAATTTTTAATGAAGGTAAATTAATCTTTTCCCATCTAGTAAACTACACTAAAAGTTAAATTTTGTGTTATATTCATTCTGAGCCTTTGATATTTCAAGAGTTTAGATCCTAGGTTGAAAGGTGATTGCTTGATGAATAAACTTGAAAGAGTAATGGAAACCATTGGATGAAGGTTTGATTAAAGTGTTAAGGGATCATTGCTTGGCCTTGAAATTCATCATATAGGGCTAAAATTAAAAGGGGAAAACAACCAAAAAATGGCGTGAAAGTGGAAAAAAGAGGAGAAAAAAAATTGAGAGAAGCTTTGGAAGTTATAATTCTATCTTTACTTCCATGTGTTGTCATGTAAACTTTTATGTTCTTTCATATTAGTTTTCTTTGATCTTTGTGATTTTTCAAGAGGGAACAACTTTCTTCATATTTACTTTATTCCATAACTCTATGCTTGATTTAATAAATTTAACCAACTAAATCAATAGTATGATTTGAAGTGGGAAAGATTAAGAAACAACAATATTGTCCACCATTGGAGGTTCAACCAAGCTCTCTCATGCCCTCCTACTAGTTTATTCAAGAATTTTGCTTGCTTGGATTGATGTATGTTGATGTGTTTGTGATTTTATTGATTATTAATTTCATGCCAGTTTATTACTTTGATGAGCTACATTGGTTATTGATAAGTATGCATGTTTCTAATACTTACCTTTTTGGTAGTTTCTTACATGTTCGGTGAAAGTCTTTTGATAAGAAAATGCCTTTATAAGTTAGTTTTCTACATGTTTGATATGTGTCTTAGCTAAAAAATAATGAAGCGTTTGTGGAGAGACCATGGGAAGCTCTTGGCCTAGCATTTCCCATTGCTTGTCCTAGACTTCCAACCTTTTTTTTCATGGCTAAAAGTTGATGTTTCATACATGCTTGATTTTGTTCTTGGTTAGAACTTTATGTTTTCTATGTGTTTGATAAAATTTTTAAAGGATAAAAGGTGTTGAGTGAGTGAATTTTCTTAGTAAGTTTAACCTTATTTTATGTTTATGATGAAATGAAATGGTGGATACATAGTCACCAAGGTTTGGCCAACATAAGGGATGATTAAATGGCCATACAAGTTTCGTTTAAGCTTCCACCATAGCTTGGTCAAACCTTGCTTATTTCCTTGACCCTTGGTGTCTGATTTCTTTTTAGTAAGGTTGTTGCATGCATGTTTAGTGTATGATGTGTTTGTGAATTTGCTTAAGTTATAGCTTTCATGTTTAGTCTCATTTCATGCATTAAATATTGCTTTTCACATTAATGCCTTGTTTATTTGTCACATGTATTATTCATGCAAAAACTTTAAACCCTTAAACCTTAAACCAAACCCCAAACCCCAAACCAAACTCTCAAATCCTAACTTAAATCCTCAAAGCCCAAACCTAAACCTTTAAACCCTAAACCCTAAACAAACTCTCAAATCCTAACCTAAATCTTTAAACCCTAAACCTAAACCCTTAAACCTAAACCTAAACCCTTAAACCTAAACCTAAACCCTAAATGATAACTCTATAAAATAGAGTTATTTCTAGTGCTTAAACGATTGATATTTGCTTAGCTCTTTGTGAAATAAAGTTCCTTTTACTCCTA